TTCTTCAATTAGCATATCCCGACAAGGTTAAAATAACCTGGAAAAACTAACATCATGATGAAATCCGCGATGTTCAACCAGACGGCGGCGTTGGTCAGCCATCCGAGACGTTGCAAGGACCGAATGCTGCCACAGACCATGCCGATAACCATCATAATGATCATGCAAGCTACGAAACAGATACTCTCATTGGTCAGCTGTGCCAGGATTTGGCCATTACCCAGAACCAGCACGGACACCGACATCAGCAGCTGCAGCGACTGTCCGATATTAACCAAATGACGACTCCACGCTCCAAAAACACGATAGTAGGTGTCACCAAAGTTGATCAATGGATAGCGCGTCGAGTCGAGCTCTAGAAACACCCTCCACAGAATCCAGCCACTGAAGCCGGCGAAGCAACCAAAAACAATGTACAAAGCCACGGCAGGACCGTATCCCACACTTGCAAAGACGAACCTAGATCACAGAGCCACTTGGTTAGAGGTGATGCGAGATGATGGTTGGTTTCGACAGCTTGAAAATCACTCACGGTGCGTTTGCCCAGCCCAGCACGTCGGTGGTGATCAGATAGAAGATGGTACCCCAACCGGCTGTTCGGAGGGCGCGAGAAGCATTTCTCCATTCCTCATCGCTAACAGCCAGGGACGAGTCCGAGGGCGTAGATGCGACCATGCGCTTTTCACCATCAATCTGCGGGCTATTCTGGGCACCATTCTTCTCACGGTCATGGTGGACGCCCTTGGAGAAACGGTTCTGGATGACCTTGCCGACGGTCAGAGGCCCACGCTCCAGCACGTACTGACGGTTCTCCTCCTCTTCCAGCTGACGCTCAATATTGGCCCAGTACATGTACTCCTCGAAGGTGACGTTCGGATCTAACCGAGCGCGAGCACCATCGGCACGTGGAACCATCTTCAGGTGGGTTTCTCTATCCTGTCCGTATGCTGGGAGAACTCCCAGCACTGGAGGGATCTCCGCCGGCTCGATTTCGGTAGCCATGGTAAAGCAAGGCGAACGACGAACACAATCGCCGGAAGAAAGAGAGAGTAGAGGACGAATTTGAGGGGTGTGCAAAGATCTAGAACTGGGGGAGGTGGGATCGGCGGAGCTTAAGAAGGACCAAACAGCAAGCACGCGACGGGGCGAGTCTACAAAGTACTAAATGGTAGTGGATGCCAGACCAGTCAAAGGGAGGCTGACGGGGAGATAACGCCCACAAGCTAATAGCCAAAAAAAAAAAAAAAAAACGAATGGAATTGGGAGAAGCGGGATTAACAGGCGGAATCCGATGGATCACTTTGGGCTAGTATCTACATTATCGCCGTCAGTATGAGCTGATCCAGTACTGGTTATCGATGCAATTTAATAAACGCCAGCGGCAGCGATGCTCGAGCGACGGTGGGCACCCATCCAGAAAGCCATTGACGGTCCATTGGAAAGTTAAACGGTCTGCATCCCCCCACTCCGAGAAGGCCACCACCACAAGCCAGAAACTTGATTGGCACAACGAGGACTTCTGGAGCATCTGTAGAAGGTCCGAAGGAGGGGTGGCGTCTTGAGTTAGCTGGTTAGGGGGAGATAACACAGCAGATAACCGTGGGCTGCACGAACGGCTTGCCACGAACCAGGCGACTCCACTGTCGGCACGCTCGTTTACTCGGAGAGTTGCAAGACTAGACCAGGGTCACAGGCTTGCTGCGGCTGGAGTCGGATGCTAATGAGCTTAGTGAAAAAACCTGATATGATGAGGGAGAAGAAGAGGATGGTCATGAGTGTGATTTCCTGGCTGAAGCACGTTATCGCGCCCAATGAGACCTGACCATAATTATTGTCTGCAGGTCAACCATTGGATCGCAAAATTCGATCTGGAGCACCGTCTGATACACCGTAAGCCAATGTTGGCCGAGGGAAGAGCAGGTGGTGTGGGTGGTCGGTTGTGGATGCGCACATATCGGACCAAAGGCCATTTTCGTAACGGGCTGTGGGAAGATAAGGGCGACCCCCGCGGCCAGTAAACCGAATATCATTACCATAATCCATAAGTAACCCAATCAATGAAAGTGAACGGATGACAAGGGGAAGACAGGATTGAAATTGCCGACGGAGAACCGAGTGGATGGGGACAGCGGCCATGCGACCGCTGTACTAGCGTCCCATCAATTTTACCGAATTTCATGGACCAATTCCCCTTACACAATAGATCTGTCTGGCTGCAACGCTCTTACATATGGAATGTTTGGTTCCAGCCACAGCGGCACGTAACCCAAAAGAATGTCGCTTATTACTTACATAGTAGTGCCTAACAGTAGTACTACCAAGTATGGTAGCGCGGAGACGGTCTCGGGGGTCACCGAATGGATGAACCAGGAATGGGTGACCAGGGCAAGAGAAATTAGTGAAAAAAAAAATTTGCCGCATCGACTAGACTAGCCGGAAACCCGGAGGCCCTGTGCACACGGGCTTATCAAAAGGACTCCCTCTATATCAGTATCGAGGCCAGTCCGTCCCATGGACAGCATGACCACTCAGTGGCTCTAAGCCCCATCCGCTCGTTGCTTGGCCTGTTGCTTGTTTCCCAAGCACGAAGCTTGGCCTCCGCATCGGCTCCAACGATGTAAAAAGTGGATATCTAGTCCACTACGCAGAATAAGTGTGCCTTTGGTACAGACCTCGCACTTCGTTGTGGCAATCTCAGAGAAATCCTCCCGGGTTCCATTGATCGGAATCGCCGTGGTGTGGTACTTGACCGTGGGGATCAAACTTTCAGCTGAAGCTTACGGAAGACCGGAGTTTGGTGGAAATGGGAGCAAAAAATTGCAGGTGGCAGGGGAGGAAAGTGAGACAAGACGCTGCAGTCTGGGGTCTGGAGTAAAAGCAACCAATCTTTTTTGGGTGGGTGGCGGTGGATGCCGGGTGGCAGCATGAACAATGGTCCCCCTATCAGAGAGTCCAGCCTGGCATAAGTGGGTGGGGATAATATGGCGTTGGATGGAGAGGACTGAAGGATTAGTCCAACCAGACCAACTAATTGCCGGCTCGGGCATGCTACTAAGCAATTAGCAAATTACTCTCCAGGGTTTCCTGGTCGGGTGGAACCGCCTGTAGCATCACAATAGTTTACTATTAGACGATATAATGCAACTGGTGTAACCCCAATATGCAGCACCGGACAGGCAGTCAAATTTCTTCCCGCTTTTCGATACGTAGAACCGCAGGATCCCGGTCGCATGGCAAATTAATGCTTTGTAGTACGCTGACCGCAATCATGGTGAAGCAATTGGTTGGTTATCTGGCGCAAATTTAGAATCGGGGGTTACTAACTAACCAACCAACCTTCCCCTCTCCCTCCACCATCTCTTGATCAGGTGAAGGGTATTCTGGTGTGACTTCGGAGGCCTGAAAAAGTACAATGAGACTTTTACATCAAGTAATGGAAGGTGGAAGGTGAAAATCCGACAATATCCCTAGAACGAATTTGGCGGGTGAGGGAGCTGGGATGAGTGCAGAATAGTTGGGGGACGGGAAGCCGCCAACCCCATCAACCCGAGCGCCGAGAACTTGCCGGGTCTCACAGCTCTTGTCTGAAACACACCTAATCTTCTCACACTGTTGATCATACTTGTTTGAAAGTAAGAGTAACTAGTAGCATGAGGCTCGTCCTTTGTTGTGACTTATTAGACATGGGTGTCTTAAACAGCACATTGCAATATGTACTATTCTGGTCTGCGCTCAATGTTGGTAATTCCAACAGTTCGATCGGCGACAGCATCGACCCGTACTTACTCCGTATTTCACACATCTTATGACCTCTCACAATCTGTGTCATGCTATCAAATTTCTCAAAACTATTTGATTGATATGGCGTATTATCAATCAACATAAATATCATAACATAAAATATGTTTTCTCCTTAGCTGTCCTTTGTGCTTGTTGTTCGTAATATTGCATATGCTGGTTTATTATATATTTCAATGAATCCTACTACATACAGGTAGTATTAACTTGGTAGACAGTAGTAATTACATAATTTGAATTTTTTTGTCTCCAGTCCACGGTAGTATCTGTAGTCTAGATATAAATAACTATATACTTGTATCTCTATTCTCTATCTCTCTGGGCTCGCTATTTCTCATGTTATCTCCATGTTAAACTCCTATCACAGGTAGTAGATTCTATCCCATGCAAGATTAAGAAGTCGGAGTAGATCTTGCATAAACAGCTAGTTTTTTTTTGCCCCAGTAGTCCAATGAGCACCCCTCGCATTATTTCAATATAATCAGACACAGTGTCTTCCAGTTTGAATATTAAATGACTGCACGAGACACGCTGTAGTCAAGTATAACTTGAAATACAGTAGATTATTAATAAATGTTAGATAACATTCTTCAGGATTCATGTCCCAAGGACTCAAACAATACATAACCATACACACTGCTATGCATAAGATAATTAGCACTGGTTGATAGTTGCAAGCAGCATGTCCTGCGGAGCTTCTTCTGCAGAGTATATTATACTAAAAATCTGATTACTGCAGATTATCTGTTGACTGTCTATTCTCTGATATTCTCATACATGCCCTACAATAATCATCGCCTAAAAAATTGACGTAATATTAAGGCCTGTATCTCTCGTCCCCTGGTTGACTAGACACAATATATTGTTCTTAGTATACTGGTTAGCGTGTTGATAATCAATCCACTACTCTCTGCTGGCCCCGCTGGACTTCCCAAGCTTTGTGTTACAAGAATACTGGTTGGAAGAAGTGAAGTTACGCCCATGCCAGATAAGGCACTAGTGGACAGGATTACACCAGATATGGGTAGTGGTTGGGTTATGTTATTTTTATAGTGGAATTTTGCCTGTGAAAGTATAGCAGTCTCTTCGCCTAAATGCGAGTCAGATAGGATGAAGCTATATAATAAACTGATAATGGCTTTTGTTTGCTAGGGTTGGTAAGCTGCTGTTGATATTGGCCTTTCTCATTCGAGCGGTCGTATCTAACGGCCACGCAGATCTGGTGGCAGCAAGTACTGCCGGCAAAACGAGACGAGAAATGCCTGAGAATTGTGTATCTTACAGTGACCTGCAAGTTGCCAACACCACCCAACGGAACCATACGCAGGGGCTGTTCGCATGTTCTCAGTGCATTGTCATAATACCGTATTTATATCGTAGCTGTTTCATAAAGGTTATCAACAATGTTCATGAGTAATGATAATAATAACCCCAAGCATGGACAAGCTTCCTGAGCTTCATATCCTTTGCCTAAGACCCAGTCAGCTAGATACAGTAAGAAGGCCAGGTCTCTTACCAGAAAGTCTAACAGCTCAGCGGTCATCAATGTATCATCTTCCATCCAGCTATGATGTCTATCGGTGATAGACTCGTCAGAAACAGTTTGGGCGCGATCAAAATCGATCCAGAGGACTCTATCTGTTTCTGGCTGAACCATTATATTGCGAGGGTATGGATCACAATGGCAAATTCCAGCCTCATGGATTTGCTGAATGATGCTCAGAAGTGCTGCGGCACGGTCTTCCGTATATGTCTCAAGGCCTATTTGTTTCAAATGTGGAAAAAACTCCAGTAGGATGGCGTTTGGGCGATGTTTATCCTTCAGAAATTTGTTCAAGTGAGGTTGCCATTGCATTGGATCTAATTGATCGATCACCCCATAAAAGTCCGGGACAATCCCTTGCTGGCATAACCCTCGCTCCTTCAGACGAACATATGCAACGCTCTCGCAGATATACGGGTCAATTTATCTGTAAATGGGATGCCATGGTTGCTTCTCAATGGCATAATACTAAGGCTGTCAAGGACAATTTGACCAATGATGTAGATGACGTGGTTCTGGAGTAGATGCACTTACCACCTTCATGAGACATAGTCGTCCTTGTAAAGATACCTGGAAGACGCTAGACGTTTGTGACTCCTTCACGCACCTGATAAAACCAAGGTCGCTTAGATTGAGCATGATGAAGGGGAAGACGACGGTGTTGGTTGTTGATGTTGGTGAACCCAGTGTCATTCAAACTCCCCCCCCTGCGGTTCTTTCATTATGTGTAAGAGGCTTGGCAACCGTGTAACTACCGAGTGTTATTATCAAGTATTTGAAAATAAGAATACGCACAACTTCTCATATAGAGTCCAACATATTGTAGTTATTTTTAATTTCAGTCACCAATCGGCAGCATAATAAACAGCTAGCGGGAAGATATCTGTTCTACTATATGGCCCCACAGTAGTGCACTAGATATGTAGTCTTTTTAGAATTATCTCATAAATCCCCGAGTCTCTCAGTATTCTATTAAATAAATGCAACAAAATAAATATAAACAGAAAAGTGGCAGAGTTCCTTAAAATTTCTCAATAAACACATATAATAAAGTAGTAAATAGAATACTGTATAAATTCTCAGGAAGAATCAATATCTAGAAGATATTTACCACTCTAATGGTAATTCTTCTTATTCTTATATAGATAAACATAGGCTGATGCCTCATAAAACCTCAGCTTAGAATCTGTATCTTTATAATGTGATCTTATTCCAAATTTGGGTTATATATCTAAAATTCATCCAAATAGCGTCACGAAACAGCTCCGGGTACGCATTCCAGGTACTTTCCGCCGCACCATTGGCAAGAAGACTAGGATATACAGCAGTACAGCTGATGGCTGCACAGAATCAGGATCAAGGCAGAAACCGTGAAACCTATTCCCCAATACCTTTGTTATGATCAACGTAGAAGGGCTCATTCGATACCCGACAACTTTGCGAGCCCCTCCGCCGCATGCTTCCCCAACCCTTCCAAATTCCCCATCCCCATCATCTCCAGTACGGTAATGTCAAAGCCGAACGCCTGTCTCCACCAGCTGCGCATCTCCACACCCACCAATGAGTCCATGCCCAGCTGCGACAGCGGCAGCGAAGTATTCAAGTCCTCGCCCGTCTTTAGCAAGAAGTTGAACAGCTTATTCCCGATTTCTCTTGCTAACAAACTAGCGCTTTCCCCGGCCCTCAATATATACGGGTCAGATTTTGCCCGGGCGAGGAAGGCCTGCAGACTATCACCGTCGGAACTGACATCGAGTACGTTAGTCTTCGCGACGGAATTATGGTATAACGCCATACGGCGATCCGTTCTCCAAAACACGCGACTCTCGGGTCTGCTGAGGGGGACGGATGTGCGAAGACCAAGGATAAAATTATTTTTGTCTACAAATCCTAGACCGTCGTTGACATCATTGGCCGCGTTGGGGATCACGGAGAAAGAGATCGTGGCCAGTACGGCCTCGAGAAGCTCGGACTCGGTAAGATGGTGCGCACCCGTCTGCTTCAGGCGCTGGAGCAGGGCGTCGTCCTCCGCCACGTAGCCGATGTCCTGGACTGCGCCGATATCGACCGCGGAGGCGGCTAGTCCCAGTCTGGTCCGGTACTGGACGAAGGCGTCCAGGAAAGTGTTTGCTCCGGCGTAGTTGGCCTGGCCAGGCAGGCCCAGCACACCGGACGTGGACGAGAAGAGCACGAAGAAGTCGAGGGTGATCCCGGCGGCCTGGGTGGCGTTGTGGAGGTGCCATGTTCCTTGGATCTTGGGCGCAACCGCGGTGTTCCATTCGGCCAGAGTCATGTGGGGGAACGCTTGGTCTCGGAGGACCATGGACAGTTGGAGTACATCTTTCAGGTTGGGTGCTTGCTGGATGGCTCGTTTGACATCACCTTCGTTGGTGACACTGCCCTGGACGAGTCGAACGTCGCATCCCATGCTCTCGAGCTCCCGGACGAAGTCATTATCGTTCGGACCCTGGCCCGCGCTTCGGGAAAGGAAGACCAGACGGCGGGCCTTATGCTCCACGAGACGCCGCGATACGGCCCGTCCAAGACCACCGAGGCCACCGATCATGAGGTAGGATGCGGTGCTGTCCAAGTCGAGGTCCGTGGTAGTTTTCACTAATGTCGGGTCGATCTTGGGGCTGCCATCATCGTTTCGCAAGAGGATGACCAGTTTGCCGAGATGGGTTCCTTGTTGCATGTGTCGGAACGCATCCTCCATAGCCGTGGCATCGAATGTCGTAATGGGCCTGATTGGTGTGATATGACCGGCTCGGAAGTACGTCATGATCAGTTCGAGAAGTCTGTTTTCATGAAAATCGGTCTAGTTAGCGTCCCCTGGTTCATTGCTATGTCGGGGACTTAACGTACCGTTTGCACTCGGATGGCCGCTTGTCTCGCAGCAGGTCCAAGTAAAAGCAGGAATACGTGCGACTGCCCAGGAAGCGGCCCATGTCGAGCCGAGCAGCCCCAAGCATGTCACGCTTGCCGATGTCCACCATCTTCCCGAACTCAGCAAGGCAAAGCCAGGTCGCGTGCAACAGCTCGCCGGAGAGGGAGTTCAGAGCCAGATCGACTCCCTGGCCTTGGGTTTCGCGCATCACACCTTCCACAAAGCTTGAGTCATGGGAGTTGAAGATGCGATTTCTCGGCAACCCATATGTTTCCATCAGGTACTGTACCTTCTCCTCACTGCCTACCGTGGCATAAATGGTGGCACCTGCCATGCGGGCCAGCTGGATGGCGGCGATCCCCACGCCACCGCATGCACTGTGGATCAGGATCGACTTGGCTGGAAGTCAGCATTGCGGCCCCCTGGCCTGACACGGATGGGGCGGACTTACCTGTCCTTCCTGTAATCCGCCCAGATCGAACATCGAGTAGATGGCGGTAGCGAACACGACCGGCATGGTTGCTGCGTCTTCGAAGGAGAGGTCCGAGGGGATCTTCGCACAGAGCTTCTCGGAGGCAATAGCATGGGTCGCGAAAGTGCCATCTTCGCGCAGCATGACCCGGTCTCCGGGACACAGCCGCTTGACGTCGGGGCCCACATGGCGAACGATTCCGCTGGCCTCGACTCCCAGGCCATTGTCGGGAAACGGAACCACAGCCAATGCGCCCAAGACATCCTGACGGAGGAGGTTAGTAAGTAACCCATCAGGCATGCATGGTGGAGAGGGTCACGTTCTTACTTTGAAGTTCAGGCCGGCTGCGAAGATCTCCACCTCGATTTCGTCCCCAGCCAGGGGTCTTCCTTTCGAAGCCTTCCAGTGCAAAGAGCTTAGTCGGCTGGGCTTCTCCATGTCAAGAGCGACCCAGTCGTCTGGCTCGGTCACAACGGCGAGGTCATCCTTGAGCGAGAAGGGGAAGATCCGTCCCACAGAGACGGTCCCACCCACAATGGTATACTCATAATCCGGGTTCAAGGATTCGTCCTTCGCTCGGGCATGGAATTTGGCATAGACGTCGATAATCTTGTCCAGCGATGAAAGAATGTCATCTACTTCACACGTCGCAAAGTCCACCAGCATCTCTGAGCGAATGGAGCGTGCGGCGCCGATGACCTGGGCAAACCGGGGGTCGGGGCATTGGACTTGAGAGAGATGCGTGATCCACAGCAGACCCGACTCCCCAACGGTATTCAAAAGGTGCTGGAAGGCTGCGAAACGAGCCGCATCGATGTCTTCAAAGAATGGGCGAGTGCAGTCGAGGAGGGAGATGATGTCCTGGGACTGGGGCAGTTCGTCCCCGAGCCGGAATGTCTGCACCTCGTAGCCTCGGTTGTTAAGTCGGTGCGACAAGGAGTCCGCATAGCTGTCATCACTGGGGTCACAGAGCAGACTGACAGTTCTCTTTTGGTCTGTACCATCATCGACCCGTGGCTTGGCCACCATGATGGCGTTCAGCTGATGCGGCTGCTCGCCGTCAAGCACCACCGCATCCAAGCCGGCGAAACCGGCGCCTTTCAGCTCCAACTCCCAGCGAGCCGGGGATACACAAGGCTCGTCCGGTCTTCCATCCGGCCCACCGTACCACCAGCCCGCCAGCGTGCCGAAGATGAAGTTGGGCCACTTGGAGGGGGAGTTCAGCTCGTGAAGGAGCAGTCGTCCGTTCGGGTCGAGAAGCTTGTGGACATTTCGGAGGGTTTCACCGAGGTAGTTTGTTGCATGCAGAACGTTGGTCGCGAGGATCAGATCGTACTTCTCCCCATCGAACCCCTGCTCGGACGGGTCTTTGCTGATGTCCAGGGTGCGATACTCAATGTTGCTCTCCCCACTGAACCGCTCCTTGGCCGTCACAAAGAAGCCCGAGGAAATATCCGTGTACGTGTACTTGGAGAAAAGGGAGGGTGTGGAGCTGGTGCCAGTCGAGTCGGGCAGGCGTAGCAGCTTCAGAATGCTCGCCGTCGTCGCGCCCGTCCCGGCTCCGATCTCCAGGATTCGCAGGTTGGCTTAGTATGGGCTAGGTATTGGATGAATTGGGACCGGTCACACGCGTCGGTGACGACATAGAGCTTATACAAGGTGTCATCCGCGAGAAGGATATCGAGGGCCTCTGTTTCTCCGGTGAAGAGCGCCGCGATGTTGGTGGCTACTTTCTGGAGGCCGATGGCGCAGTCGACGACGGGAGTCTCGGACAGGTGTTGCACCAGTCGCTCGATTCTCTCCACAAGGGCCTCATCCTCAAGGGCGAGGAAGGTGGACCATTTTTCGTCAAGCCGCATTGCTTCCACCTGGCGGTTCATCCAGTCGCGATACAGGGGCATATGCGCCACCGGCGTGCTAACATCTTTGATGCGCCGACTGCCGTAGATCATACCTAGCCGAGCCAGCTCGTCCAAAGCCGGCGTGTACAGATGCCGAGGAAACGACGGCTTGATCAGCGTGGTGGCGTCCAAGAAGTCGATATGCGGTCCCCATGTCAGGCGGGCGGTGGTTTCAAGGCCGTCGGTCTTTCCTGCCTCGCCGGCCTCTTCGAGAGGCGAAAGCTTCAAGCCTTCCATGTGCATGACAATGGTACCATCTGCGATGCATTGCTGGACCTGCCCAATCACTTCCCCGGTGCCTTTGACACACGTGGCTGAGGCGGACACCTGCAGGTCATCTACCCTGGTGGGGGTTTGCCGGACTATCACCCGGTCGATCTTGGTGGGCACTCGTCGGTATGCCTTGGCGTCCACAGTGCCCAGGAGGCCAGCAAGAGGAGCCGCCTGAATACAGGCGTCAATGATAGTGGGATGGAGGTGATAGTACGTTTCATCTCCCGCTTGGTCCGTGGTCACCTTCGCTGTTGCCAACCTCTCCTGAGTGCCCGTTTCAATATTGGTCAGGCGCTTGAACATCGGCCCGAAGTTCAAGCCGGCACGGTCCATGAGGTCGTAGTACTTCTTAGATTGCAACTTTCGCGGCAGGGGATCCCTGAGGGCGGCCGTCTGCGTCTGCCCTTCCTCCGCCGCCGTCCCCGAGGCCTGACCAGTGCAGTGCTTGGTCCACGTCTGGCCGTTGTACGAGGCGATGGTAAACTCCCACCATTGACTATCTAGCGAATCGGTTAGCCGATGGGGATGGAAGGTCGTCACTACCTCAGTGGGTGTTCCCTCGCGCAGCACTAGGGCCGAACTGATCACCACGCCTCGCAAGGTGTAGCTCCTCTGTGATCCGCTGATCTGTCGGATTGCCTCTCCGATCATTGACAGATAGCCCGCACACGGCAGAATAATATCCACCTCGACTTTGTGATCTCGCAGCCAGCCAGAGTCCTCAACCCGCATCATGTTTCTCCAGCTCGGCTCCAGATCAGTGCCGAGCAGCTGACGATCGCCGAGAAGCGGATGGCTGGCAAACTGGCGGAATCTCCAGTCGCGCGAGATGCGGGACTCGCGCCAGTAGTCGACCCCATGGTCCCAGGGGTACCGAGGCAGTCCGGGCAAGCAGGATCCCGAGGGGTAGAGGGCATTCAGACTGACCGGAAAGTTCAGCTGGAAGAGCTTTCCGAGCGCTGTGAGGAACGACTCCACGCAATTCTCACCGCGGCTCATCGCCGCGATGTACGGGGCCGAGTTCGAAGACGCCCGAGCAGTCAGGATCTGTCTCACGGGCCCTGCGAGCGCGGCATGTGGTCCGATCTCCAGGAAGGCGACATTGTCGACATGATCAAGGAGCTCGGAGACCGCGGCCCGGAAAAGCACGGGAGATTCCAGGTTGCGTTGCCAGTAGGCCGCGTCCAGGGGCAGATCCTGTTCCTGCTTGCCGGTGACGCTGGAGAAGAACAGCTTCCCGGGTCGCCTCCCAACCAGGTCGCGGCCGATAGTGGTTGAGTAGTTGGTTCCGACCTCGCGCATGTGGTAGGAATGATAGGCCTTATCAACTTTGAGAAGCCGAGCCGTGACCGTGGGATGCTCCTTTTTGATCCGTGCAACCGCGGCTTGCACCTCCTGGGTGTCTCCGGAGAGAGTGACGCTCTTGGGGGAATTCTCACAGGCGACTACAACAGTGGGAGGTGAGAGAAAGCTCTGGACCTCCTCCCAGCATAGCCCTATTGCCGCCATGGCGCCAGGGCGGGTTTGCCCTGCAGCGGCCAGACCTCGCTGCCAGGCCGCAATGATGGCCTCCCGCGCGGTCAAGGCTCCCGCAGCGTAGGCAGCTCCAATCTCTCCGCTACTGTGGCCAACCACCGCCGCCGGGGTGACTCCGACTGCGGCGAAGAGATCCACCAAGCCGATTTGGACGGCTGTGCAAAGGGGCTGCGAGAGCTCGGCCGTCTGGACTCGGGACGTCAGGGCCGGCTTGAGGAGCTCTTCCTCCAATCGCCACTCGGGACCGTTCGGGGCTGCTTTCAGGTATTTGTCCAGCGCCCGGATAGTGTTCTGGAACGAAAAGTCGGAGCGCAGGAGGAGGTCCCGTCCCATGCGTGCCCATTGTGCGCCTTGACCGGTGAAGACCATGGCGAGGCTGGGCGCGGAGGTGGGAACCTTCCGGCCGGGCGATGGGGTGACAATTCGGTCTGGACCGGCAATCAGGAAGGATCGATGCGGGAGATGCTCTCGGCGGGTAGCTAGGGTGTAGGCCAGATCACACAGCTGGTCCTAGTGTTGCGGGACCCAGTTCTCGAAGGTTTCGGTCATCCGTTGCAGCGATCCAGCCACGCTGGCGGAGAGAAGCAGCAGCTGGGGGCCGGCAAGGAAATCGTCCGGCGTCGGGTTTGGAATCTGGAAGCTACGAGCAGAGTCGAGGATTAGATGCGCGTTGGATCCTCCCACGCCAAACGAGTTGATGCTGACCCGCTCCCATCGCGATTCCGGCCACGGCGTTGGGTCGAGGGGCACCGTTAGTTTGCAGGCCTCGAATGGGATCTTCGGGTTGGGGGCAGTGAATTTGATATTGGGAGGGATGATGCGATTCTCCAAGGCGAGGACACCCTTTATTAGGGATGTTAGCCCGGACGCGCCCTCGGAATGGCCTAGGTTGGGCTTGACCGATCCAATATACACGCCTGCATCGCCAAAGACCCGCGCAACGGCCAGCGTTTCGACCGGGTCGCCTGTCGGGGTGCCCGTGCCGTGGCACTCGACGAAGGCTGTCTCGGCCATGTTCGTAATGCCAGCAGCCCGGTACGCTTTCCGGATCAGAGCCTCCTGGCTGTCGGTGCTGGGGTGGGCGATGCCCGGTGTTTTCCCATCGCTGTTGGACATGACGGACCGGATCACCGCCCGGATGGGATTCCCGTCGCGAAGGGCTGCGGCCAGAGGCTTGACGAACACGGCGGTGATGGCCTCGCCTCTCGCGTAGCCGTTCGCATCCGCCGAGAAGGTCTTGCAGGACCCGTCGGGGGACAGAACCCCCTTCTCGGTCATAAACGCCGTCCCGGCTGGCGCAAAGATCAAGCTCGACCCCCCAACGACAGCGGCGTCGCAGTCCCCTCGTTGGAGGGCTAGACACGCTTCATTTAGCCCCACTAACGCAGATGAGCACGCGGTGCGGATGGTTATACTGTGCTATGTCAGTAACCCTATCCTCTTTGGGGAAGAGAAAGGAGTAGGGGAAGAAGGCATGACATACCTGGGCCCGCGCAGGTCCATTTCATATGAGACCCGATTCGACAGCATGAAGTCACTATATCCATCCACCCGGTTCATGCCATTTTGCTGGGGGTCTTTGTTTTGCAACTCCAGCCAGTCCTCCCCGTAACACCCCATGTAGCAGCCAATGGGCTGGGCACGGAAGTTGACTTCCCCCGCGTCGTCGAAACACTCTCTCACCACCTCCAACATCTGGCGCTGCTGAGGATCGGCGGCCTCTAGCTCAGCCCGACTGAGTGAGAAGCGGGACGCATCCAGCGCACCGAGCTTGATGCTCTCGTCGAGGAAATAGCCGTACTCGGTCACCACCGTGCCTGGTCGCTTGGATGGGGAGTGGAAGGCCGATACATTGTATCGTGACTCAGGGACCCGTGACCGCGCATCGCCTTTGGCTATCAAGAAGTCCCAGAGGGCTTGCGGACTCCCCAGTCCACCGGGGAGTCGAAGGGCCATTCCACATATCGCGATGGGGGAGAATGTCGTACTAGCATCATTAACCTGGCCCCCGGTATTAGGAGCAGAGCCAGAAAGACCATTTTCACGGGATGGCATTTTGAAATATAAGAAACAAACGCTCACTGCTAAGATGTTGAGTTTCTAGCCCTGACATTATGAAGCCTGCGTTGCGAGAGACGGGACTTTATATGCCCGGCAGGTTGCCTTTTCCCTTACCAACTTTCTCTGGTTGTGAGATAGATGTTATGATCGAAAGACGTCAGACTTGTCCTCTTCGCCAATCTACTCTCGTTATCTTGCATGACTCCTAGCCTAACTGAATTGGCCCCCAATTCTCGTTGATAGTAGAGTTTGATTGAGATCAGTCGTACGTCTTCAATCCTTTTTGTAATCCAGAGACAATCTTACAGTACAAAGGAAAAAGGGACTAATGAAAATGTAGACACCTGTAGTATTTTGTACATGTCCAGCCGCAGTGGTGCATGGTGCACCAGGAAACGGAGTTTATCATGTTTCACCACTAGTACTGCATGAATGCCGTGATATTTTAGTGTCGAGTATGATCTAGACTGTTACCCCTCTCCTAACACTATGTAAGTCCGATCAGTATAGCCGCACGGGACTCGTCTCCTCTCAGTGGTGACGACACACCATGAACAGGACCTGAGGCGAGCCCACATGGATCAAAATCCGAGCAATTCTGAGAGGTACGTTAAGAGAGGTTTGGAGTATCTTGAGGAGCGCTCTACAGAAGCAGCAACAAAAGCAATAATGAAATGAACAAACGGAAGTAAAAGAGTGAGTTGAATTGAGCTATCTAGGAGAGCAAAATAAAGCAACATGAAGAGGTGTTTTGTGGGCAGTCCGAGCGCAGTATATGACTAGCCTACATGAATGCCTTGACACGGCCCCCTAGGCGAAGGAGTGTGCGAGGAGGTGTTAAATAAAATTATAGATATTTTTTAGATAAGCAATCTTTCGCATATTAAGTATTATTTTCTGGATGCTGTGGGGGGGTAGTTAATAGGATTATTTCTAGCAGAATCTGGAAGTTACAGAACTTTTTCTGATCTAATAGTTTGGTAAGGCTGTCTGCAGGGTTACTAGTACCTATAATATATTAGATTAATATAATATCTATTTTAATTAAGTCTGCTATAAATAGATAGTAGTTATCTAGCTATCTAGTAGACTGTATATATATACTGTAATTAAGAATCTGTAGTAAATTAGTAGTATTACTGAATAAGAATATTTTACTGTTATCTGATATCTTGAGATTAAATATCTGTGTTAATTTCTTGATATACAGGATATCTTTAATAATAGTATTATATGTGCAGTATTCTGTAATAATAAAGAAAAATATAATAATACTTTATTTATTTGATAACCAGATAATAAGTCTGTCTGTATAGAAGATAACATACTTTTCTATTAATTTACTATCTTTATGATTAGTATAGATAATATTCATGTAAATTTTAATCTTTTTAATATAATTAACTACTAGGGTGATTTTATAGGAAGTAGTATTTATATATATGCTTTAAGATCTTTATATTTATTATAATTAGAGTATATATATGCCTCTGCAGGCAGAATATAATATGATATAAATTAAATCTGGTTTTAATAGTTAGCCAGTTTAATCTGCTTATAAGACTTTGATATTTATTAATATTAATTTTTTTAATTAATATTACAGTACAATCTGTTTTTGTATAGATGGATATTATAAAGACAGTAATATCTGAGTAGGATTATATACTTACAGTAGTAAGATATTTTTTTATATAAATAAGCTGCCTGAGTAAGATACTGTTTATTTTATAATTATATAAAATATTATAATCAAGCAAGACTTTTGGTTTGTCTAGTTTCTTAAATCTGAATATTTTATTAAGATAATGTTTTATTAAAATTAGGTCTGTTTATTTAAAGCTAGTAATAATAGAATTATTTATATAGATAATAAGTTATATTTTATTATTTTTATATATACATGGATTCTCTGGCAGGGATTTAAAGCTGATTTTCTGTAACTTTTTATTAAAGATATAGTATTACAGATACGCTGCCTGCCGCAGTCTGTAGAAAGCTATTTTAAGTAAGTATATTTATTTAAAGAGACTTTTATAGAATCTAGTTAGTTATTTTATATAGACCTGTTTGTCTTTTATCTGAGTATATAAATAAATAAAGATAATATTATATTACTTCTAGCGGAGGTCCTTTATTATTATATTAATTATAAATATTTTGAGGGCAATCTTGCTTGCTACTGGAGTAAAGAATTTAGTATAGTTAATACTAGATATCTGGTGGTTACTATAAACCACTTATCAAGTATAAAATTATATAATAATCTTTTCTGTATTAATCTTCAGGTTAAATATCTATTTATCTAAGATTACGCGGGTGCTAGTAGGGTGGTTGATTATTTTATATATATTTATTAATTTAATTTTATTAATCTATATAGTTATAACTGTTTTTTAATATAGAGTAAGCAAAGATAAGATGGCTTCTGTATAGATACTTAGTATGTTGATCTTATATTATTTAAAAATAAATAGAAAAAACAGATTAGACTTTTATTTCAGTACAGTTATTTATTTATTTTCTAACCACGAAGGGCTTTTTTCTTTTATAATTTATTAAAATTATCTCAGTACAGTGACTGTAGCAGCAGGAAATTCAGATTCAGTAAATCAGAAGTTGTATTTTATATATTTAGTAGATAATACTTTATAATTATAAGAATTCTTTATTAAATAAATCAGATTAGTAGATGTAGGGAAGGCAGGTATAATAAATTCAGCTAATATAGATATAGTCTCTATTTTTTTATATATAAGATTAGCAGTGTTATCTTATACAGGAAGAGTTTTATTATTATTAATTATATTCTTTATATTTTACATGATTATTTTATCGAAATCAATCCCGGTACTTTGTATTAGTATAATTAAATCTTTAAAAATAGATATAGATACTGTAGTTACTTTACCAGGGTCTTCATAGTTATTCTTATATATATATTCTTTATAAAATATTATATTTCTTGACTATTTGACCTTGTTTAAATCAGGATATTATACTAGATAAATATAATTATGATTTCTGTTAAATCTGATAAAGTAGCCAGTATCAGCGCGGGGGCTTATCTTTCTGAAAATAATATGATTCTCTGCAGGTATATATTAGTAATAATAGTATTTAAATATATTATATATATAAAAACTCAAGTAAGGCATTAGAATTCAGGAGATTATAGTATAATCTGTATAGATAAATAAGTATTTCTTTGATCTTATTTCCTGCAGGGATTAGGTGGTTGAGGATCTGTATAATAAGTCTTATAATAAATAGTCAGAGAATTACAGGCAAATCTGAATCAAAGATTATAATTTTATTTATTTAATTAAGTAAATTATTATAGTACTCAGCAAGGCCGTTTACCTCAGGTATTTAAAGAGATAATATAATAATATAAATTTCTTGATCTTCGTGATATATCTATTCTTTAAATTTATTAAACTTATAGTTTTTATTAAGATACTATAAGACAATATATTTACTGACTATATTTTTATATTTATTATTTATCCGAATCAGTTCTGTGGAGATATTATCTTTTTATTTTAATATAATTATTCTGATTAATCAGGTAATATTATTTATTATTACTAGAAAATATTTGAATTTTTTATAGTTAACCGGGGTCATCTGCTACATATCCATGTGCTAGAGTTATATAGAATCAAAGATTCTTAGAATAAGATTCTTTAATATTAAGTGCTTTACTTTTCCTAAAGAATATATATTATAGTATAGATTCTTATAATATTTAAGTTTAATCTGCTGGTTCTTTGTGATAGAAATAATTTTGCAGAATCCTGTATATTTATATTACTGATATAATAATAGAAAGTTAACTGTAGTAAGAATTAATTCTATATCCTGAGTATATATAAAAAGTATATTTTTATTTTCTTATAAATATCCCACCATTTTATTATCTATTTTTTTTATAGGATCAGGTTAATCATGTTTATATATATTTTAAAGTCCTTTTATAAGAAAGTTATAGATAGAAGGCCGTATACAAGATCTGGTTAATAGAATATCTTGATTTTAATCTCATGGTGTTCATTATTTATAGATAAGATTAGGATTTAATAATTAGTTAATCTAGTAACATCAATTTCTCTGTCAGATATTCTATATTTATAGAAGTTAAAGATATCTAGATCATGGTAATAATTTAATAAAATATAATCAGGTATAATATATTAGAAACTGCCTATATTATAAATCTAATATAATAAGCAGTTAGTAGTACTCCTAACTACTATTCTAAAGAAGTTTAAAAAATATATATTTTTATTATCTAACCTTATTTTATACAGGGTAATATATTAAGCAGATATTTCTGTTATTTATTTTACAGATGTAGATTCTGCTGCTTTAAAGTTATTTTTTAAATTTAAATCTGACTTTCCTTCTTTATGTTAATTATTCCAAATCTTGAAGAACTAGATATCTAGAATATATGATTACTATAATCTTGGATATAAAATTATATTAATATATTAATACTTTATTTAGTTATAGTTAGAGTATTTACAGTAACTACAGATTTTATTAATATACTCAAGTATTATTTTTTTTATTTTAGTAGCGTGCTCTTTATAAGAAATATCTTTTATAAAATATATAGTCTTCTTCTATTTTTTTTTAGTGTTTTTTAGCTTTTATAACAAGCTTTAATCTTTTTATATAATAGCTGTTATTTCTATCCCACTGAATTTATTATACTATTTCCTCGTGTTCTGGTAGATAGTATAGAAATTATTATTATTATATATAATATCCGCGTTCTTTAGTATTTTATTCTTTATATAGATGATTCATACAGGTATGTTACTCTATATCTTCTGAAGAAATAAGAATATAGCTATAAAGACAGGTATTCTGTATTATAAGATCTTGGTAAAAGTATAGTTTACTTAAAAATTATTAATATATTTAACTGCTGTAATATACTCAGATCTCCTTGGTTTAATAAGATTATATATAATACTTTGGTAAAGTATAATACTATCTTCTAGAATAATTCTTTAGAATATTTTATATATATTATCTACCAGTTCTTTCGCGTCAGCAGAGTCTGTAAATAAATCTAGTATTTTATCTAATATATTCTAAGTTAATTATAATTATATAACTATTAAATAGATATACCAGGCCTTGTATTTTTCATGATTTTTAGCAGATTTAGCCAGATCCTTATTAATCAGGTCTAGTAGACTGATATTTTTAAGTATTTAATATACTTGAAAGTTTTATTTTATTTAATTTATATATTTTTCCAGTAAGATTAGCAGCCCTGGGATACCATCAGATATTTACTTAGAAAATTTATCTATCTATAAAATAATCTTGATAACTACTTCTTTCTCTAGAGAGAGATTTTTAAATAAGATTCTATATTTAACTTCGCGTGTTATACTGGCTGTTCAGTATGCTTAATATAAGTAAGTAAATAAATAAGTAAGATATGCTTCTTGGCATAAATATATAATTTTATTGGACCTGTTAGGCTTGCTAAGATCAGTATTCTATAGAATACCTTATCTAACAGTAATGGCTGGCTGTAATAAGACCTGAATAGCTTCACAGTATAAAGACCAGACTTATAACCTCTTGAGAAGTACTCTACAGAAACAGTAATAAAAATAATAATAAAACAAATAAACGGAAGCAAAAGAGTAAGTTAAATTAAGCTATCTAGGAGAGCAAAACAAAGCAACGTGAAGAGGTGCTTTGTGGGCGGTCCGAGCGCAGCACGTGACTAGCCTACATGAATGCCTTGACAGAGTATGCAAGTATTTGTGTTGTATAGACTTTCCTATATCATGTATCGCATGGCCCTGGACGCAAGTATTTGCCTGCCACAACTGGCAGCAGCCTGGCTGCTAGATTGATACCACCCGCTACTCGGCTGCTAGGGCTGACATCAACATGTCTGAGGAGATTAATCGATCAATCAATCAAGCTTCTTAACCGGACACCTAATCCTTGCGGGCTCTCCGAAGCGCTTTCCTGTCCAAGCATAGTAACTTAGATGCTACTGCCCATTTGCCCCCCGCTTCCTGCACCTGGATTGTAGCTTCAGCGCAGTCTGACTGCATTGAAACCCCTTGTGATAGGATAAACCGACAACTACTAGCTGTATAGCGTATCTTACACGAGGGATGGCGCAATGCGACGGTCTGATTATGGGAATATTCTTATCGAGGATTCCGGGCTGACACCACAACGGCAGCTCCAGATAGCACAGGTGTTGATATAGCCTACTCAGCCAACCCCCAGAAGCCTTGAGCATGTGCTTTCCTCTCCCAGTCTACATTGTGGTTCCTCCCGTAATACCTTCGACGCACTCAAACTATGTCTGATTCATTTATCGTTGAATGGGCGAGAGCCCAACAGCCCAAGGCCCCCAACATGAAGAATGCCTCTGTCTTTTACCGGAACCTGGAAGAAGAGCTCGACGTGCGTCGATCCCAGCATGGCTGTATCATGCTGCACACCAAGGAACAAACTTCCATGGTGGACTTTTCCTCTACCGATATCCTCGGGCTGAGCACCTCGGGCTCCGTCCGGAAAGGCTACCTGGACGAGCTCGCCAAGCACCCCGATTTCAAGCTGAGCAGTCACGGATCGCGTCTGACCGACGGAAACTCCAGATACCTGGAAGGCATCGAGCGTGAGTTGGCCGCATTTCACGGTGCCGAGTCTGGGTTGATTGTCAATACGGGGAGCCTGGGCAATGCCGCTATTTTCTCCGTCATTCCACGCCCCGGCGATGCCATTGTGTACGATGAGCTCATCCACGCCAGTATGCACGATGGCATGAAGGACAGCTTGGCCTTGTACCGCAAGACCTTCCGCCACAATAATGCCAAATCACTGTATAATGTACTAGTGGCTGTTCAAGAGTCGCAGCCCCAAATTCGCAACAGCATACAATCGGTCCTGGTGGCAGTTGAGTCAGTTTATAGCATGGACAGGGATATCTGCCCGCTTCAGAAGCTGATTAAAACAGCCAAGGAGGTGTTTCTGGAAGGCAACATTCAATTTATCATCAATAAAACGCATAGCACCGGGATAATCAGGCCCAACGGTACTGGGCTGGTTTATGCCCTGGGGCTGGAAAGCAAAGTAGCAATCTAACTGCATACATTTAGAAAGACGCTGGCTGCGACTGGAGGTAAGATATGATTGAAGTATTATTACTGAAAAAAATACTAACCTACTCTATAGCCGTGATTCTATACAATAATACCGTGCGCATGATGCTGATCAATTACGCCAGAAGCATTATATTTTCCGTAGCGCCATTCTTCCCCATGCTGGCCTCAATTCGCGCTACATACCAGCTCTTGCGCAGTGGCGAGGCCCAAGAGGTATAGTTTGCCTCCTCTTCTACTGAAAGCTTAAGCTGACATAGCACCAGGCCCAGAACCGCGTCCAGGAGATTGTGAAATTCTTTCTGGAGACTATAATCTCTGACCCGATCTGGAGCAAGGCCAGCAACACCGGGCTTCTCCGCCTTCCCATGTACGAAGATGCAGATATCCAGTCAGTCCTTATCCAGATCATCCAGCTGCGGACGCGCACCAAGCACAACTTTTATCTTGCATTTCACCTGCAACGGGCCGGGTTCTTAGTCTTCCCTATCTCGTATCCGGTGGTGCCTAAGGGAACGGAACACGTCCGGATCATCTTCCATGCGTCAAATATGGACACGGAGGTTAAGGTCCTGGTTACTGCAATTGCGGAATGGGCCCAGGAGATACTGGAGATTAAGAGCAGCGGGGACCGACAGAGGGTGCCAGCTGCGGCGCGACATGTGTATGCGTTGATTGCCCAGGCTAATCTGAATGGGAGCGAGTAGATGGGTTCAAATAATCGGAGAACTTTCGTGTAGAAAGAAAGTATTCAAGCCTTGATCTGGCGCTCCTGAAATTACCTCCAAACTCCATTATTATAGCCTGTTCACCGTATTTCGAGAGTAAGAGAAAGGGACAAAACAAGCCTTGCTAAATTGCTTATCTGGCTAAGAAATCTTGTCCCGGCTTGGGGTGAGGGCAGCAGTGGCACGACCCCCTCGTTATAAATTGATCGGTGCTGAGATCCTGACAAAGGATCCACTCCGAGGCCGACTCCGATGGATTCCTGCAGGCAACTCTCCTGACACGGGTATTTGAGTCGCAGTATGTCCGACTGGCGGTTGTCATCTTTGGGGTGATACGTTGCTTTCCTGAATCACAACCATGGATAATCCTGTGGACGAGAAGACGGCGTCGGAAGGACAATCTGCCATGGATGTGTCCTCCGAAGAGAAAGGATCGGCGGAACAGTCTACCCCCGAGACAAAATCCAAGAAGCCCCTCTCTTTCCATCTGGCCTTCCTGGGCCTGCTGTTCATGGTGTTCATCGTGTCGCTGGACACGACCACCCTGGCGGTGGCCATCCCCATCATCGCCCGCGATCTCGGAGGCACAACCCTGCAGTCCTTCTGGGCCAGCACCTGCTTTATGCTGGCCGTGTCCGTCGTGCAGCCCCTCTACTTGAGCGGCTCAGACGTACTCGGGCGCAAGATCCCGCTGTACACCGCATACTCTCTTTTCATCGTCGGCTCGCTCGTCTTCGCCCTGGCCCCGAACATGGCCACTGTTATTGTCGGCCGCACTATTCAAGGGCTCGGGGGCAGCGGCCTTGACGTGCTAAACGAGGTTATCACCGCTGACATGACCACTATGAAAGAGCGCCCCAAGTATCTCGGTCTGCTGGCTATCCCCATGGCTGGCGGCGCCCTGCTCGGCCCCATTATCGGCTCACTCTTCACTCAGTACGTTACCTGGCGCTGGATCGGCTGGATCAATCTGCCTCTCATCGGCGCGAGCTTCATTCTTACCTTCTTCTTCCTGCGCCTGCGCCCCGTCGAGGGCACATTCCTCCAGAAACTTGGTCTCCTGGACCTGCTCGGCATGGGCCTGTTCGTGGCTGGCTGCGCCACCTTCGTCCTCCCGCTCAGCTGGGCTGGGGCTCTCTACTCCTGGGGCTCCTGGCGGACTCTCCTCCCGCTGATCCTCGGTTTGGTCGTCCTGGCCCTCTTCGTCGTCTACGAGCGTGTTCCCGCGCAGCCCGTCCTGCCCTACCGGCTCTTCAAATCCGCCACCGCCATCACCACCTTTCTCGGTGGCTTCCTCCACGGCCTGGTCACCTATACCCTCAACACCTACCTCCCGCTCTTCTACCAAGCCGCCTTCTACGAAACTCCCCTGCACGCCTCCGTTACTCTGCTCCCCATGAATGTCATGTCCCTGTTCTTCAGCTGCGTCTCGCCAATCTCCGTCAGTTACCTCCGCAAATACCGCGTGAACATCTGGACGGGCTGGGTGTTCCTCACGGTCGGGACTGGACTCCTTCACATCATCACCCCCGCCTCATCCGTGCCCTTCCGTACGGGCCTCCCCATCGTGGTCTCCCTGGGAATCGGCGTTCTCTTTACTGTACTTGTTCTTCCGGTGCAAGCCAGCGTTGCCAGCGTCGACGACACGGGGTTTGCCGTCGGCTTATTGGTCTTTTTCCGATTACTGGGCGGGTTAGTCGGTCTTGCGATCGGGTCGACAGTGTTTAGCAGCGTTTTTGAAAAGTCGATTAAGGCGCTGGGAACCCTGCCTAGCACCCTGGCCGCGCTGGAGAATAGTCAAGCCGCGGTAGGGTTTATTCCTCAGTTGAGGGATCTGAGGGGACAGGTGGGGAAGGAGGTCTTGGACCAGGTGACAGGCGTGTATAGTCATTCGTTCCACGTTATTTGGATTGTGTTGATTGTCTTTGCGGGGGTGGGATTAGTGGCGTCATGTTTTACGAAGGAGGTGAGTATGGAGAAGGAGGAGCTGGGCAGGCAGCGGTTTGAGGAGTAATCTGTACAATTTCTGGTTACTATCGGGATACACATATCGCCTAGTTGAGGGAGTTGTTTGCGTGCTGCCCTAGTACTTGTTGCGGACAGGAAAAATCGGGGTAGGGTTGGAATGATGTGGATGCGCTGCTGATTGGGTTTAGCCTGGGCAAGAGGAATGTACTGGCCTAATAGATAACCAGATAGATGGCAATTGGTCAGATATAGGTACTTACTCCTACTAGTCAGCTCCTATTTCTGTTTTGAACTAGTCTAATGCATGGGCATCTCACTTGCATCTGGCCATCTCCACCCCCACCCCGACCCCGACCCCGACTCCGCAAGTTCGCGAGTCCGTCACCAAAAGTCTCCCCTCCCCTCCTCACTCCGACCTTTTCATCCCACACACGCACACCATGTCGCTACTGCGCTCTAACGGGGTGCTCAGTTCCTGCGAACCATGCCGTAAATCCAAGATCCGATGCGACCACGCCTCCCCTTGCGGCCGATGCCGGCGCAGACGCAAGCCGGCCCTGTGCGTGTACCAACCGGCCCCGATGTCCAAGCATCCGAACAGGATGGATCGCAGCTCCACCGACTCCATCTCGTGCGGAAGTGGCAGCAACATTACTACCAATACCAGTATCAGCAGTGCCTGGACGAGCCCGCTGCCTCCTCCCTCGCTAGTCACTCCGCCGTTGCCTCCGGGCCATCTCCGCGACGGCTACCTCGCCGATTGTAGTCACCGCAGCACCTCGACCCCCAGCACTGGCGTCTTCGGGCCCACCAGCTACCTGTCCGTGCTGCGCGACGACGTTGACGATGGCTCGTCCAGTATAGCCCTCTTTGCTAAATCCCTGCAGCAGAACACCAGCGCCATCATCGACGACAGCCAGATCCAGCTTGGCGCCGAGCTGCTCCTCATCCTGCTCGATGATTTTGCTTTATACGAACACATGGCCACGGCGCGGTTCGACCACTGCCAAGGCGATTTATTTCCCCCATCTGCCCTGCGTCTGATCCTGTCTTCCATCCGAACTATGCTGCACGAGGCCATTTCCGATCCCGCTAATCCGCTCCCTTCTCTACTTATCCTCTCCCGAAGCATTTTTACTGCCTCCTCCAAACCATTAATCGTAGACCCTGCCATTACCCCTACGGAATATTTTTCCTCTATGCCGAACCGCTGGGAGATTATAGGGCTAGTCTTTGCGGTGATTGGTTCCAGCGCGTGTCTCCTCCCGCAACACGATCTGGCTGCGTATTCCCCACCGAACCGTCCCCCACTTGACAAAGGGGGTCTTGCAGCTGTCTGTGTGTCCGCGAGTGAAATCTGTCTTCGTTTTTTCGACTACACCGGTGTCATTTCTGAACAGCTGTGTTGGGCGACGCTGGAACATGCTTCGCTTCTTACCCTGCTCTATGGGGATTACGGTACCCTACCCACCTTCCTCACTCTTCACACCTATTACCTAGTGTCCACTTAGCAAAATCCCTCTTTCCCTACTCTGCCCCCCACCAATGCTAACAAAGGAACAGACTACCGTCCCTACAAGACCCTCTCTGCACTCATAACCCTTCTCTTCACCCTGGGCTACCACCACCGCGATGCCACATCAAAACTCCCTTTCTTCCGCGCGGAACACCGCAAACGCCTCGTCGTCGCCGCCTACGCCATGGACAAAGGGCTCTCCACATTCTTAGGTCGTCCACCCCGCATGATCCGTCGGTATATTACCGTCGACCCGCCATTGGACATAGCCTTCGCAGATATCATAGCCTCGCCAGAAGTTCTCGACGCCACGATGACACGCCTGGATAATAATGGCTGGAACGCAGAGGGGGCGTATACACGGGGATCATACGCGAGGGCATGCTTCATGATGGGGGTTGTAAGAGAGGCAGTACTAGAGATTTCTCTGGGTTCGAATATCGGGGAAGGAGAGGGGTCAGGGTTGGAGGAGAAAATTATGTGAGATGCCTCCCCCAACCCCCTTCCCCAAAACTACCGTTCCCTTTATCATCTTCCAGTGATGCCTTGCAGAGAACGAATAAAACTAATGATGGGAAACTTAACAGAGAGATATCCACCCTCGCCGCAAAAAAGCGTCTTTCGCTCCCCTCATCGCTGTACCGTGTCAGCACGCCATCGGACTTCGACCGTTGCCCCGAAACTGCCAAAGTTTGCCTCTTCGTGCACATGGACTCACTTTATAATGAGTTCATTCTCCAGCGGATCTTAGTCCAGCGAACGGGCGCCAGCACAGAGAAATTGATTGCTGTCGCGCACGAGCTGCTGGACAATTTGTTGTTGTTGGTTGCCAACCGCGCTGTCGGTGGGGGGGATGGAAATTCTGTTGTTTGGATTGTATGTTCCCCTTCCTCTTCCTCTTCTCCCTCATTAATCGAAGAACTTAGATCTCCTCACTCGGCCTACCCCCCGCCGGTGTCCTGGCTGTTGAACTGCTGCATCGATCTCAGAACCCCAATTCTAGTTTCCAGTCAGCAGGGGAGTTTTGTCGCTCGGAAATCATCCAAAACCTGAGCCGCTTTGCTGCAGATCTTGAGTATGTGGTGTCCAGGCAGGCGGGGAACTATGATGTTTGCCAGCAGGCGAAGTCCGTGATTAGGCATATCCTTAATCGGGTTTTGGGGGGAAGAGTGCCAGTTGTGGAGGCGGGGGAGGTGGTGGAGGGTGAAAATGGTAGTGGAAACAACAGGCGAGATGCGCTAGGGGAAGGGACTGGGCCCGGATTTGGGGCACGAGATTGGATATCATGGGATTTTAATGCCTGGATGGATGAGGATTCGGATTTGGTCAGGTGGTTAAATAGTTTCGAGTAGTTGATATCTTATGTGTTTGGGTCAAACGAAGGAAATGAAGAAAGATCATTTATTATCTATACATGACCAGTTGAGATGTAGTAACCGATAAAATTCATTACTACAGGTATAATTTATATAATGGCTTCAAGCTTAACCCACTTTTATGGCAATTTACATGTACGAGGGATGATGTTAGAAAATAACCATCAGTCTCAATGGGCATGCATGTGGAACTTTGTCCTTGGTGGAAGTGCATACGAAATGTTGGGACCTTTAACATATATTGATTGGACCACGCGGGATATTAACTCCTTGCAACGGCACTTGCCGCTAATCATGTTTGTTCACAGATATCTTCCAAATATTCACTCTTCACACTCCTACCATTCCTGGCCTCTTCGCACGTTGTTATTATCCCCGCTAAAATTGTCCTCAAACGCGTCATGTTAAATCTCTGTTCACCGTGACATTTAGTTTTTCTTCAAAAATTATTGCTTCACCCAAATGGCTACCAGCGTTCCTAACCATCGCATAATTGAGAACAAAATTTGTGCTGAGGCTGCCTTTCTTGTCATTATATCGAGAGCGGTTTTGTTCGAAATCACCCTGCGAGCCTCTGAATTCTTCGGCACCTCTCTAGAAGTGCAGGTCAATGGGTGGCTGAAGAAAGTTAACGGAAGTGAAAAAGCCACGGATTTCGAAGAAGACTCAAACGACGGTGAAAATCTCGAAGAATTATGGGACTGGTTGGTCGTCCCATGCGCACAATACATTCGACGCAATGCTCCAGAAATACAAGGACCTATTAGCCTACAAAGCTTTACCTTTCCTCGAGCTCACGCACTACAGTTGATGCCAATTGATGCATTAATCACAGCAGTTCCCACTGTTAATAGACGCTTTTCCAAATCCACTCTTCCCACGATAAGCGCGTCAATTTCAGGCCTTCCTCCTAGTGTCCCCAAAGTCAGCGCAGCCGATGTGTTCATTGACCAGGGCCCAGATAGCGAATTCGATCATACCTGTGACATACCGCGACATGTCCAGGTAGCAGAATGTGGCCTACTTTTCAAACCTGCCAACAATATCAGTGCTTTCATTTATGAAGTATCAGCGCTCAGCCGTGTTTCAGAACTCGTCCTGTCAATCAATGTGTCGAAGCTTTATGCTATCGTGCTATCTGATAATGGGAAGATAATCCTGGGCATCCTGATTGATTGGCTTCCATTCGGGTCGCGAAATCTCTGGAGCAATGAATTCATTCAAATGAAGGAATATCATGCTAAGTGGAAAAGGCAGATACTGGATACCGTGAAGATCCTTCATACCCACGATATCATATGGGGCGATGTGCACCCGGGAAATATTGTCATAGACTACGATTTGAATGCCTGGGTCGTCGATTTTGATGGTGGGTACCGGTCGGAGTTTATCGACGGGAAATCAGCAGGCACGAAACAGGGCGATTTAGTGGGCATTCGTAATGTCTTTTGCAACTGGCTACCGCGATGGTACCTGGAATCTCAGTCGAATTTGGAGTGCGATGCAGATTGAATGTGGTAGGATATGTCGGACACTTCCACTTATACGAGCCCGACTAGAACTTTCAAAGACAACTCGGTAGGATTATGCTAGGAGTCATTAATCACCTGTCTGAAGCATGAATGCCATGAAGAAAATAATGGAATATTGAATCGATTACGAGGTATATCTGATAATCCTTAAGCTTTTGATATGTGATCAACCATAGTGAGCACCCTCAGCATTCCGAGCTACTGGAATAGTCCGAGTCAGTAAAACCGAATGCCATAAGGAATCGAGTGCTATTGCTGGAAGGACTGCTGTATGGCTAGCATTCGACAGCCTTTGCAGCGTGCGAGCTGGCCACCATGTGAGGTTGACATAGAGGTCGATGGGTGCTCGAGGGAATATCCAATGTTACACAATCCGTCCGACCGAAGGATCAAGTGGGACAATCAGCACAGCACCTCTATAACTCGTTCGTGAGGGGCAAGTATGCGTTGTGTCAGGATCAGTGCATCGGTGTCGCCGATTCATCCAGTTTTTACGAGCTACATTGGAAGACTTGCGTGGCTTATAATGCATAAAAAAGGACTTCTCATTCTTGACAGTAACGGGCTCCATGAGGCCCGGCGAAGTGCTTCACTTTTACGGAAAGTATTCCATGTACTATTGGACTCATAAACCAAATGTAAGCGCAAGGTTCTGTACGGAAACCTTCTTATGGCCAATCGGCTAAACCTTGCAGGTTTCTCATACCCCAGACCTCCAGGTATCTCTGGACCGTAGTCTAACTTGTTCTGAATACAGCTGTAACTCTTTCAATTACATACTAATTCAAGTTTCGCCAAAATTTGATCCCAGTCACGCATTGGCCATCGCCTGAAATCGCTTTCTTGCATGATGAGCAGCCGGGATGTTCAACTGATTCAACCTATATCTTCCAGTTCACAAGTGATAGAATATATACCCATAGATGAATCGGTTGATCCAATCAGCCATGGCGGCATCTTTGGCTAATATGCTCCGGATTTTGCGTACTTCCTTAATTGTCTCATGCCGAAGTTGCCGTAGAGCCTCCAGCGCGGTACAATTATGTACCTTGGCGTAGCTTTGGACAAATCCGGGAGAGTCCTCCTGCTTTATCTCCTCCTTGTAGAAGGATAGGAGGTCATTGACGTATCCCAAGAACAGCATGATACTTGGGACAGCCGAGACATATTTTGGCAAGTCCCGATCTTCAGGGTGGATATCTTCTGAAAAGCAAAAGAAGGCAAAGTGTTCAGCGACCCCTGTCTTTGCCCTGAAGAAAACCAGATAATCCGATGCATCACCCGACAGTTGGACGGAATCTTGGTTTTGTTCAATTGCCGCTGAAGCGATGAACTCCATGGTGCCTTTGATGATCATATCGCCCCCAAACGCACCAAACACCCGCGGCTGGTCTCCCAAAAACTTGGTGAATCCACGAAGCATTTCGTGTCTATGGGACTGTCCAAGAACCAGCTGAGATCCATAACATTCCAGATCAGGTAGGATGTTGCCCGTAATGTCATCAATCGCGATAACATATGTAGCATATAAAGCAATGGCTTCGAGCGCTTCGGGAGATGTATATGGATAAGAACAGCTGGATATCTTGGTCGCCGTAGAAATGCACGATTCAATCTCTGTTATAAACTTGCGCGAAATACCATATGACTCCAGGCGACTCTCAACACGAGACTTCAGGCCCACATCAAATATCATGTCCGGGGGTTGGAAAGAAATGTCTTGCAGGAAACCGTTGACAACGTCTTCGTAATCTCTTTTGGAGATGTTGCTTCCGGGAGATATCTTCTGGAAAACAGCGACGTTGTCTTGTGTGACTGCCTTCCAGAGAGCGGCAGTAGGGACCACAAGGATGAATATAAGGAGGGGCCAGAATAGGAAGTATATCCCATTTAACCAGAGGCTCTGGTAAGGCCTCTGGATGAAAAGAAACGCATTTGTGACGGAGTCCTGTCCTTGAAATCAGTCATTACACTCACAGCATGCTGAACGGACTTCCTTTACTTACCATTGTTCCGATAAGTCAATGATGTGCTGTTAATCATACAGGTATTGCGCAAGCCACCACTACTGAAGAATGTACGGGATAATTCACCCCCATCATATACTTTTTGATGTGGTCTTGGAAATACGAGAAACTCCGATCACACGAAAATACAATCACTCGATCGGATTTCAGATTTTAGCCTTGCGCGATTTTTGGCATTGCCCGTCATGGGCGTCTGATCGAAATATGAGTCAGTGCTGATACTGTGCAGACGCAGCTGAAGGTGTCCCCTGAAGCACTAAAACCTTAGACTCTATACATAATCTCACAATCGCCGAGCTTTGTGGCATAATCCCCGATATCTCGGGCGTCGATGTGTGATTATACCCAACTGGTGCTGGTACATAATTAGTGTAAGATTGAATTAAGAGTGGATCACCAATGACAAGTCGACAAAAAGTACCCAGGGTGAATTTACAGAATGTAAGGCATTTTACTGGTGAAATTTAGCGCGACGGGATTGTGCCATCCCGTTCCCCTCACCAGTAACGTCTTAGACTGGTATTTATCCGGTGTGATCTGCATTGATGCATCTGAGTGGCGATCGGATCCCAACTGCAATTATCTTACTTCTACGGTTGATGGGCGTATCATCAGATAGGCACTCAAGTGGAGAATTCGGTGGGCCAAGAAAATAGTCCCTGAGTAATTCTTCCTTCCTGTCTTTGCGCCGCCCATTCATGAGGCCTGACTTGCTGGGAAGCAGAACAAGTGCCAGTATAGCCACTGGGTTGGTGGGATATCAAAATGGAACAGGTTTAGCTGCCGGAAGAAGGCATCCAGTCAACATTAAGATTAATGGCTAGTCAGTCCTAGGTATATGCACAAACGGACTTCTCCGATAGTCAGCTCCCACTGTAGGTAGTGCTTTGACTCAGGCTTCGTTCGTGTGTGACGACATAGATTACTTCTTTCATAATTATCACGTCCATGCATTATCACACAGCCTTACTGTACCATCACGTCCATGTATTCTCCGAAAACTTGCTTTCAGGCTTGCTTCCCAAGCGACGCAGACGTTCAACTCAGCCCACCAATGTAGCACCCGTCCAAGGGGGAAGTAAGATAATATATATACGGCCAGTCAATTGCCGGAATATTCTCCAGAATCCGGCTCAAGAGCATTAGTGGTTTTCATTATATCATTCAACATGACTTCTACTCCATACATGCTTCAGCCAGTATCAAACATCTGCTCGGCTATACTAGACAAGCAATTCCGTCATTCTGTTTTTATTTAGACCCTTGTTCTTTGCATTTTGATCGGGTACAAACTATTCATTAAGATAGGCAATTCCCACCTACCTGCTGGACCAAGTCCTCTACCGATAATTGGCAATGTTCATCAGATGTTGACTCAGCGCCCCATCGAAGTGGTTCACAAATGGCACCAAAAGTATGGCACCATGGTGGCCTTCCGCTATGGCCAACAATTGGCCATCAGCATTGGCTCCTTTGACATCGCACAAGAATTGCTAACCAAGCGAGGTGCTATTTACAGTTCACGTCCTCAATTTGCTATCGCGACCCGCATGACCCGCGGAGTCAACTCGGCTATCATGCCGTACGGCAAGGAATGGCAGAACCAGCACCGTATCATGAGCTCGTTGCTAGACTCTACTGCTGTCAGTCGATATTATCTTCTAGAAAACATGGAAAGCAAGCAGGCAATTTGCGAACTCCTGGGTAGCCACGACTTTGGGGCATTCATATGCCGCTATGCTGGTAGTATCGTTATGACACTTGGGTACGGAATCCGACTGGAAACAACAGACAACGATATTCCCGCCCAACTCCTCGCTGTCAACAACCATCCCTTCGATGCCATCGGCAATAGCTATTACCGCGTGGTTGAGCTGTTCCCAGTTCTTGACAAGCTACCAGAATGCTAGCACCTTGGAAGAGGTTCTCGGACAACGTGGAACGAGAAACCACCAAGTTCCACATGAAACATTTTGAGATCGGCAAGTCAGCGTCTACGTGGAACTGGGTTCAGAATGCCCTGAAAACCAAGGCGGGGTCGCAGATCGCGTCCACAGAACTTGCCTATGTGATAGGGACGCTTCAAAAAGCCGGCTTCGAAGTTATTCTTACCGTTCTACGCCTGATTATCAAAGCCATCGTGCTGTACCCGCAGTGCTTAAAGGAGGCCCAGCGAGAGCTAGATCGAGTTGCTGGATCCGACCGGCTCCCTTCTTCTGAAGATATCCCTCAATTGCGATACGTCAACGCTATCCTGAATGAGGCTATGCGCTGGCAGCCGCCGACTCCATTTGCAATTCCACATGCAACTACGCAGGACGACGAATACATGGGATACCAGATACCAAGGGGTACAGTGATTATTCCCAACATCTGGTCATGTCTTTCGATCCGGAGGTTTTCCCTGATCCGCATAAATTCAAACCAGAGCGGTGGATCGAGAACCCAGACCTTGAACACAGCCCGTTCGGCTTCGGTCGAAGGATTTGTCCTGGCAGGCATCTGGGCTGGAACAGCGTTTTCATTCTCATGGCACGGCTCATGTGGGCGTACAATATAACTCACTCGTACAAAGATGGAAAGAGAATTGAAATCGACCCGTGGGATATCAAATTGACGTTTACAGCAGCATCTAAGCCGTTCAAGGCCTCATTTGAAGTTCGAGAACCGAAGAAGCAAGAGATCATAGAGAGGGAGTGGGAGAATGCGACTAAGGATCCTGTTCAAATCATGGAAGAAATTGGGCGAAAGACTGAGGTAAGAGGTTAGTGAAGCTTGGGCAAAAGAGATCGGCTAGGCTGAGAAGTCAAGCGGTTCGTTGTATTGTGTTTCCTCGAGGGACAGTCACCGACCATTTCTTCTGTAATTGTAAAATTTGATATTGCCAATGCACTGAAGGTGGCAAGGCTGTGTATGACAATTAGGTCAAAACTACAATCGGAACTACAACATATGTTCCGCTACAAAGTAATGCCTTCTCTACTATGTTTGCGAGACAACCTTTTTGATTCGAAAATAGTAAAGAAAAAGAATGCAAAAAACATACAACAGAAGGGATTCGCTGGTGGTCACCCACCCAACTACTAACCTCCCGGCGTGTGGCTTAAGTATGGCTGAGCGGACGGGAAGCCCTGTTTTCCACACCCTGTGGTCGTATGTATCAGACTTACAAGGTCTAGGGTATATATGCGCATCCTTTCTACATGAATTGATTATACTACGAATTCCATGATTGGAAAACTACTCTGCCCTATAATTAAATATCCAGATCCACCTTACACCTCGCACAGTAATCAATATTGCTGGCCAAGATCAAAACCAAATAACACGAATATGTCAATTGGTAACTTCCTTTAGTGGAAATAATCTACCCTATATGATGTCTTTATTGTGTCGTATTTAGGTCAATATGAGTGCAGCGCAACAATTGATTTCATCCTTTGTGTGGTATCGATTTGTCTCCGAAGCCGGTAGTTGACAGGAGTCATTCGCCTGAAAATTCAAACCATTTGATAAGAAGGCAGTTTATCGAACATGCCTAAAAGCCACAAAGGGCTAAAATTACTTGTTCCAGCTCCTTACCTGGATTGGTATCCCCGCAATAAGCCAGATATCCATCGCCCACCTTTGCTCCCACCACTGCAGCTTGTGTCTGGTCGACAGGTTCAGGCCGCGTCCGCTCTGTCATAGCACCTTTGACAGGAATGTAAATCTTCTCCTTGGGGCGAGCATTTTTAATGAAAACTGCCTCCATGCTGTATAGTGTAGGAAGCGAGATAGCCTCTGTTCCGGCTGGAAGGGTGCACTCAGGATTGAATTCAAATTTGGTTCGTTCTTCATCCCCTATAATCCACGGCAAACCTATTCTCACTCGGAAAAGGCTCCTGAAGCGGTCCTTGGTCACGAAACCGGGGAAACAGAAGCCAAAAATGGCCAAACCTCCTCTGCGCATGTAATCCTCTAGCTCCTCAACGACGAGTCGGTTGACGGGTATAGTTACACCTTCATCAGCGACGATGACGACTTTGGGGTTGGCTTCCAGGCCACGCAATGCCTCGTCAATGGGAAGTCCATAGTTACTCTCATATTCACTGATAGTATTCATAAGAAACTTACATCTGCTTAGATCTGGGCTCATATATATCGTAAGTTACCTTGCTAACACTGGCCATAGATGACATTCTAGACTGAATTCACTATTCGTCAATTGGGTGTAATGTTATCCGAATAGACTTCACCAAACGATGCTAAGCCAAGCCCATTATGCTAATGAATAACTAGGACCGGACAGACGACAAGTTGTAGAGTCGTCACCCCTACCCAGCAAAGAACCGCGGAGCCGAGGCAAACCCCGACGCGGCATTGGACAATAAAGAGATGAAGTGGTTTTTGAACCTGAGTTCTCAGCTTCTGGATATACCATTTCCTCTAAGAATCTACCAGTATACAGATTCACTGGTACATTCCATCTTCAAATTATCTATTACTAATTGCACATAAGCAGTACCATCTTGCATACTTCCTCCTCAACGCTCTCGTTTCCGCAATAAATTAAATATCCTTTGCCTTGCTTCCTTCCAACCACCGCGGCTTGACCCTGTTCCTTGGGTCTTACCGTGGAACTTTCCAGCGGAACAACAACTATTCGCTCGATAGGTGAAGCGTTCTTGATAAGATATGCCTCCATATTATAGGGGCAGTTAGGAACTGGTCCGGCTGGGACAATGCAGTTTCCATTGAATTTACAAATGGTCTTGCAGCGGTCGTCATATTCCCAGGGTGTGCCAAATTTCCGACCAAAGAGATTGTTGAATTCATCTCCAGAAATAGAGCTGGCAAAGTCCAGCGCGAATGTTACTGATCCACCATCCTCAAGATAGGCTTTTAGCCTTTTCGCTATGTCTTGGTTCTCCGGCTCGCTTATGCCCCCGTCTGTCACAATGATTTTCTTCGGGCTGTGATTCGCTAAATATGTGCGGGCAAGTGAGGCTGTTGGTTACCGTACTAAGTTGTATCGCCTACTCAATTCCCCAATGAGCGACTCGTAATCGTCATCGAGGGTTTCCCTGTATGCCAGACACAGGAGGGCGATGTCTTCACGACCGTTGGACTCCATGATGGTCACGAAGAAAATTACAAAGTGGCACGTGGAATAGATTGTGATTAAGTATTCAATTATTTGAGAGGAATGCAGCAAGGCATTTGAATCTGTGAGCAGAATTAGGTAAATCTTTGACACATTTATATGCGCCGTGGAGCTAATACAGCCTCTGGAGGTAATATAGCAAACAACTCCCAGACAGAGAATCCACCGATACTATTGTCCCTGTGCGCCAAAGATCCGCAGTGTCAGTAATAAAATGGCTCTTGATGGCCCTGTCTTTGACAGTCAACCTTTGTTGGGGTTGTGGTATGCGGCAATGCAGCAGTTGCTTTGTATGGATTGCCCGGGACTTAACCCCAACGGGGACCTCGCTTTGATCCCTTGTCCTTCCCAGTTGTTTCACTGAACAATGAATATGTGTTGAAGAATTTGCCCGACTTATCTAGCTCGTTAAATCAACCTTTGATTAACGGTTCGTTCTGCAAGGATATGTACAACGGTACGCAGTCCCCTGGTATTCGCAGTTACATGCTGGAGCACTACCTATAAGTTGCGAGCACTAAATTCTGCAGCTGGGTATATTATTGACTACAAGAGATACGGAAGATAAGTGGTAAGGTCATCGATATTGAAAATATAATTTCTCATATAACGAAGAGATTATGTTAGTTATTACTCCTGATCCCTAATTATCAGCCTACTGAGTACTACTACCTCTGGTGCACGCACCTCGAAGGCATGTTTGGAGGGCACGGGTATACTATTCACTGCCCCATGCAAGACCAGCAATGAGCGCATTATTGATAATTTTGAACGAATAACAAGTCTTCACAAGTGCTTTAGTCACTGAATCGTATTATAATAGTTCAGTCTTCGGGTTCGTTTCCACTTTACATTAAATTGTATGCTTTCCATTTTCCTTTAGGGAACTCGCTTCGGGTAGGATTTGCCTTACAGAGATGTTTTTAGTGTAGTGCGCTGCGCTGTTATAAGCACAAAGGAGAAGTACGGGGCTTACTGCAGATTTAAATTCCGTTCTAGCTGGCGATTAGGCGTGCCATCCGTTTTCTAGGTTGGTTGACCGCGGTCAGGCGTCCAATGCTCATTTGTGCGGGTGCAGACGTCATCCCGGAACTGATCATTTGCTGGCTCCCTTATATTCACGACTTTTCCATTTACCCCTGCTTCAATGTCTATAAATACTAGGATCGAAACCAAACGCCAAAAAGTATGAAAATCCTCATTGTGGGCGCAGGTCTTGGCGGCCTCGCGGCTGCGTACTGCTTTGCCAAGGACGGCCACCACGTCCAGGGAAGTAGACCACCCTTGAAGTTGTATTCCATCTAATGATAAACCTATGCAGGTCTTTGAGAGGCGAGAGAAATTGTCGCCAAAGGGGAGTGGACTGCTGATCCGTCCTGGCGCGTCTCGCACTCTTCAATCTTGGGGCCTTGGAGACGCCATTGAACAAGTCGCGGACACCTGTCTCCCGATCCTCATCCGAGACCTGAAGACCGGAAAGGACAAGATACGCGCTTTGCCAGCATCCCTCACCAAATATCCAGATTGGGGCATTCATCGGCCGATTTTACAGGATATTCTCTACCAACATGCCGTGCACGCTGGGGCCGAGATTTTCTTCAACAGTTCCGTAGAAGACTTCTCAGATGAACCCGGCGTAAGTCCAAGCTTACAATTAAAAGGAGGGGAAACAATAGCTGGCGATCTCATTCTCATTGCTGACGGGATTCAATCACACCTGCGTACTAAAGTTTTATTTGACGTTTCCGCGGGCTGGTCGGTAAACCCGCAAGTCAGCGATTCGGTCTACTATGGCGTAACAGTGCCACAGAAAGAGCTAGAATCGGATAGTGACGCCAGTTTATTGCTACAGGAGTTCGATACATGTGTTTGGGCAGGCGATGAACGTTTTGTCATTGGTCGGAAGCCCAGAAAAATGGAATTCTGGAGCGGCTTGTTCGGCCTCAAACATGATGATGGCCATGCCAGCATGTGGAGCGAGGTATGCGTCTAGTCTTATGCAACCAATCCATTATGATACGCTGAAAACCACCAAGGATGGAGATATCGCATTTGTGAGGCAGCGTTTTGAGGGGATATGCCCTCCACTTTCTGCAGTTCTCAAATTGGCGGCTAAGTGCGACAGGTGGAAGATTGCCCAAATGCCAAATCTTCCCCGCTGGACGAGTAGGACTGGCAGAACCATCCTATTGGGTGACTCAGCCCATGCAATGGAGCCCAATGCAGCACAGGTTAGCCTAACGTGGAGACTTTCAGGAATAACTGGAAATACCCACCACTAGAGTCATACGCTAATTCTCTCTCGACAGGGCTTATCGCAGATTATCGAGGATATTGGGATATTGCACATATTGCTTTTGTCACTTCCTTACCTGAGTGTCTCAGTGATAAGTAGATTCTGGGAAGATATTCGAAAGCCTCGTGTTGAACGCATCAAATCCTTTGCTGCTTGGAACACGCAAAGGTTTCTCGGGCACAAAGATCACGCGGCCTCGCATCAGAGATATGCTGATACCGACTGGGAGTCCATCAAAGATATCGAACCAGATCCTGCCGCAGATTTCAGAAGCCCTGCGTTTTTCAAGTGGGCCCACGACTATGATGTCGTTGAACATGTGAGTCT